GGGGGGGGCTGTAGGGGACAGAATGGGGAGACTGGTGGGGGGGATGGGGGACACGAGGGATCAGAACGGGGGATTGGGGAGGGATGAGGGAGTGTGGGGGGGGGACTGGGGATCAGAATGGGGGAGGCACAGAGATGAGGGGTGGAAGAGGACTGCAGTGATCAGAACGGGGGAACTGGACGGGAGGGGAACAGGGGGAGGGCGTAACCCCGGGGTCACACAGAGGAACCGGGGGGTGCAGGCGATCGGCAGCAGGGGGTAAAAGGGGGAGGGCAGCGAAACACGTGTGGTGGGGGAGCCGGGGAGACGCGGGGCAGCCGCCCCCGCCGAGCGGAAGCCGCGAGCACCACAGAGACCCCGCGGGGCCGACGCTGAGCGGCAGCGGCCCCCAGGCGCCCCCTGTAGAAGCCGAGGCGGTGCTCGGAGCCCCGGACTGCCCCGCGCCGCTTCTGCACGGCCGCCTCCTGGGGTCGCAGGGCGATGACGTCACTCGGCGGGGATGGCGCGTCGCTGTAGCGCTGAGGCGCTGTCGCCATGGAGACGCCGCCACGCATGCACTGTCGCCGCGGGGACGGCTGCACGCCTGCAAGGATGGAGAGGCCCGCGGTGCGGGACGTGGGGTGCGGGGCACGGAGCTGGGGACCCTCCCAGCCTTAGGGGTGGCCTCTGCCAGGCAGGGACAGACATGAGCGGTCCCTGCTGAGCGTGGGGACGAGGACACGGACACGGAGCTTGGCTTTGCTGAGGGCTTTGTTGATCTCTGGAGGATGTCAGAGGCCTTCAGGGTCTTCGCTTCCTTCAAGGGACTCCACGGGTCAGCAGAGGATGTCAAAAGCTGTCACTGACCGAGGAGAAGCCTCGTCCCAGCAGGGTTTGTGCCCCAGGATTTTGGGCAGGAGAAGGGCTGGCAGCAGCCCAGGGCAAGGCGTTGTCCCCTGGGGACAGCAGCCACAGCCCCTGTCCCGTCTGCACAGTGACCCTGGGCCATCCCTAGGGCACCTCGAGACCCTCCTCCTCGGCACAGCCCCACAAAGCGTGAGGGAAGGTCTGGGGTGGCAATAAAAATTCCCAGGTAAATTTCGTGGCCACACGACGGCAGCAGAGACCTGGGAATAAATTTCGTTGCAGTTCCGCATATTGGCCACACGAGGGGGCAGCAGAGACCTGGGAATAAATTTCGTTGCAGTTCCGCACATTGGCCATAAGACGGCAGCACAGACCGCGGAATAAATTCGCTTCCCTCAGAGATCACTTGAGAGGCATCACAAGGAGAGGCATAGCAGACACAGCTACTCTAAACCAGCTTAAGATCCCCTCAGAAAGGCAGAGATCAAAGCCCTGCAATAAAGAAAGAATCACTTTTACCTCTTTCTAAGAGCCAGGACTCACCCAACAATCCACAAGAGGCAATCTCCAGGAAGAAACAGTCTTTGGGCTGCCAGCCCTTAAATGGAGCCAGGCTCAGCCCCATGTGGTCCCACAGGTGCATTGCTTCCACCTGTGCTCGCAGGGCTACACCCCTCACCAGGTGCTCCATCACAGGCTGTGCACAAATTTCAATACACAGCAAGATGCTGAGAAGCTGCATGTGCAGCAAAAGGGCTAAGATTACTGGTGTGAATGGAGCGAGTGCTGTCTGCCAAACTGCCAGGGTCAGCTTGCGGCTCCCCAGGGAGAAACGTGCATCATCTCCTCACACAGCAATTAAAGACCACTGTGAAATATTTGAGGGTTTGGTGTCCTCAGTGGGTGAACCCGGCACCTGCCTGTACAGCAGCGTGTGGCCTTTTGGCTCAAACACCAATCCCAAACACCAAAGAAACAGGGAGGCTGCAGTGTGTCCTTCGTGCAACCCCTGCGCTCTTCGAGTCAGAGATCGCTGATGTACTCCATTTCTGCTGCGGTATGATGTGGGATTGCAGATTTGGAGAAAAGACAGATCATCTCCAGAAAGCACTCCCTGTACAACTTGCCCACGTGTGTGGCTCATTTTGGAAGCAAAGAACCGAAGACCTCCATTTGTGGGGCACTAGCCCCACCCCACTGTCACAGCCGTGCGCCGAGGACACCATCAACCCACTGTGCACAGCCATCAACTTGTCCCAGGACTCCACACATCCCACAGGCATCCCTGTCCCTGTCCTCAACCCCACGGTGACATCGGCAAGGAGCAAAGTGGGGCAGGGGACATGGGGCGACTTGAGGGGACATGAGATGGCATATGGGGACACAGGGATATGTGAGGACATGGGGGGACATGGGTTTGATGTGTGGAGTCAGAACTACAGAGGTGAGAGGAGGTGACATGTAGAGGTGACAGAGGGAGGTTGCAGGCTGTGCCAGGAGGTGCCAGTGCCATTCGAGCAGCACTGCAGGGCAGATGAGCAGCACCAGCCCAACCTGGGGGTGATGGTGATGCTCCTGGATGAGGAGCTGATATTGGTCTTCCAGCAGGTAGGAGTTTGTTATCCATATGTAATACTGCACTTCTTTGTTGTTGTTTTTTTAAATCAGTGATAGTATGCGGTCTGATCCAATGTCTTTGAAAAGTGTGGTTTGAGGATTGTCAGCTGAGAAGAGCAGCAGAACATGGGGCCGTTGCAGGGAGAAGGCATGGGGAAGGAAGTGAGGAAAGAAAGGAGAAAGCCTGAAAAAGGAATGGGCGAAGAAAGGAGGCAATACATAAGGGAATGAAAGGGAAAGGACAGAATAGCTGTAGAGCAGCCTAAAAAGCAGTAACAAGCTCTGGGAGGACTGTAGAATGCCAGATTCTGTATCGGATGTATTTGTGTGCGTATGTTGTCATTACCCGCTTGGGTCAGGGTTGTTGTTGCTTCTGAGCTCCTGCAGTGGGAAGAGCTCAAGCAACTGGTGCAGTCCATGCAGACCTGTAGGACAGGGCTTGGTAAGGACAGCCCCGTGCAACCCTCAGCTGGACAAATTTCCTCTGTGTGCCCAGACTGTGAGCTGTACAGTGCCCGGCCGCACTGCTCCAGCTCAGAGCCCGCTGCCTGCAGCTGCATCTTTGCTTCCTTCCCTCCTTCCCAGAGCCTTGAGGGTGCTCCCACCGTCCCGTGCCCTCCCCCAAAATGTCAGAGAAGACAGCTGGCAGCGAGCTGGAGGAATCCCAGCACCCTGTTTTCCTTCTGCCTGCAGCTCTCCCCTCCTTTGCCACACAGGGCTTCAGCCTGCGAAATGGGAATGGTCTGGGGGAAAGGGAGTGCTGGCAGGAGTGACTGCTGCAGCTGGCTGGGGAGGGTCTGTGTACCCCGTGCTCTTGGGGGCGATCTGTCCAGCTGCAGGAAGACCAGAGAAGGGCAGATGAGAAGCTGCAGTTGAGCCTGATGGACCTGTACAACTCTCAGGCCATCTCGCCAATGGCAGCTGTGACACATCACTTCTTTCTCTGCAGGTGAATTAATTTTCTCCATCTGTAAACTTAGGTGGAGAACTGCAGAAACTTAGATTTCATCAATCTTTGTGGAAAGCATGTAAAGGTCCCCATGAATCTCAAAACTGCAACTTTGTCTCTGCCTGCATAGACCTGCTAGGGCCTAAAACTACCCATTTTATGGCGTTGAAAAGAATAAAAAGCCAAAAATGAAACCTGGAGTTGAAGAAAGGCCCATGGAAACAAATACATTAAAATATGAACAAGACAGTGGCTGAGCAAACATTCATATGACCTTGTGCTTTCTGCTAAAGTGCTTTATTTCATTATCATTAAATTTGCTGGGCAGTTACATTTTGGTATGTGAATATTTAAAAACAATGCAACGGATACTGGCAAAAACAAGCTTTGTTGTTTTGTTTTTTTAAAAAACAGATATTCCTAAGCACTTAGCAAGGCTTTCCAGGGTCTGGAGTAATTTCCCTCTGTTTTCTTTGTCTTTTCCCCCGGCTTCTAACTTCGTGTTCTTCCCCCGGGGACTGCGCCGCGGGACCCCGTCAATGCCGTCAGGGAAGTTCTTTCCGCGGTCTCTGCTGCCACCTCGTGGCCCATGCGCGGAACTGCCGCTGTCTGCCGCCGAGTCCCGCCAACAGCATAACGCATGCACCTAGAAATGCGGAAGTGCCGTTCTTACCGCTCTGCGCAGCTAATCCGCCGCTCTTTATGGTGATCAGTCCTCCAGCTAATAGCGAACGTGAGCCCGACAACTTAAAAATAACAATTGTTTATTTTTTCGAACCACCACTACGGGTACGGGCAAGCAGCCGATTCTTGGACTGCCGGCTCAGCGATCTTCTCCCCCTTCTCATCCAGGATGCCCCTCGCCTATTTCCGCTGTTTTATGCCCGAGCCCACCCGGGAACGGACCGGTTCGGCTCACAGCTGCTCCACAGCGCCTCGTGCCATCCAATTTGCTCGCCGCCCCGATGAGCCAGCAAACGTCCCCTTCTACCCCCAGCCCAGCACCGTCCCCCAGCTGTGTAAAAGCCCTCTCAGCGGCAGTGGAACGCGAGCAGTTCCGACATTCGCTCTCGCGGTACCGGCGCGCAGCAGCACCGACACGGCAGCAACCCGGAACCGGAAGTCTCGGGAAAGCCCTGGTACCTGTAGCACCAAAACACTGCCGCAGTTCCACCGATTGGCCACGAGGGGGCACCGGAGACCGCGGAAACGACGACGACTGGATCGACGCGGAGCCGCGCCGCGGCTTCTCACGCTTCCTTCTCTCTTTGTCGTGAGGGCAGAGGAAAAATGCAGTTAGATGGGGATTGAGGGAGGAGAAAATTGCGTCAATTGGAAAAAGACGAAGAAAACCAAGGAAAACTTCCCTACACCCAGTAAACCTCTGCTAAGCGCGTAAGAATATCTGTAAATCAATACATAAATAATCATCAAGTTGATTTCGTCATGCTTTTTTTTTTTTTCCAAGCCTCTGAGGTGATGAAAAAGCTGGTATCAATTGGACAGGTGTGTGCAGAGAAGCTAAGAATGGCTAGGAATGATTAACAATCATTAACGTTGTAAAACAATTGCAGTGCAAAACAGGCATCCCACTTCAAGAATAAAAACATAGCAGTAACAACTTCCGTACCTGGCCTTGCCACTCTGAGATCCCATCCAGGTCTCCCGAGGCTTGTAAATATTCACTGCAATATCAATTTTGATATCGAGAGATCTGCTGTCCGTTCTTCCATTCACAACCGAGGCCAGGGTCTGCTGCAGGGCATTCTGACCACGGGCACCACAGCTGAACTGCTTTAATAACAGCTAGTATTCGATATTGAAAATCAATGACAGAAGCCATTCCCAGAACACCACTGTGGGAAACGCAGAGGCAGAGAAGAAAGAATCCATATTTCCCTGAACCACTGCTCCAGGGAACAAAGGAAAAAAAAAACCAGAGAGAGAGAAATATTAATGTATTTTATATGCTACCTGTTTGAAGGCATGTACCACTCTCACATTAGAAGCATTAAAGAAAAAAAAAAAATGCACAGAGTAATCTCCTCCAAAAGTATTTGCATTTGGTCTGGGCAGCAAATGGCGCAGCTATGCATCACAAAGAACTGAAGTCATGAGCACCAAGCTCCTAAGCTCCAGCCAAACCAACCAAACGCACCTATGGACAGGCAGCATCCTTAAGAAGGACAGCCAGTAAAAATGTCAAACAAAGCACCCGATTCTCAGCCTTCTTGTTCCTTTCTGAAAGTACAGAGGTGTCTGTGTAAGCTCCACCTCTAGCCTGTAAAGCCCAAGCTCGCAGTCTGATGGAAGCCCAAGAAAAATTTGGGTTATTACAGTGAGTTCCCAAAAGGACTGACTTTTCCTCGCCCCAAGTCTCAGTTCTTTTACACATGCATGGTATCTCTCACAGGTCACCTGGTGGTCTTCTGATGAAGGCCAGATGCCTTTCTCGCTGTGCACTCTTTGACTGGGATCAAGCTGAAGGATGCTTGACTCACTCCAGCCAATCGTCTTATCAGCTACAACTCCAGAATTCCATCCACCAATCTGCTGCTGCTTTGTTAATTTGTGGCTTTATTGTCCAGCATGCTACCCTGCATTCCAGAGACAGGATAGCTAACAATGTTGTTTGGAGAAACAGCAGACCTTCCGTTGCCACCTGTTAAACACAACACAATAATGAAGGCGCTGCCCCACACGTGCGGGGGCTGCACCCTGTGCACATTGCTCTCACGAGTGGCTCCGTAGTGAGATGCCAGGGGCTGTGAGACACAATGACACAAAGGCTCTTGGTGATCGGGGCACAGTCGGTACAGCTGGGGAAGTCTGCCTGCTCAGCAGCTCTGGGGAAACTCAGCAAGTGCATGATGCTGCTTACCAGCAGCACTGTAGCTGGTAATAGACAAGGAGAAGGCTGAGGTACTCAACATGTTGCCTCCATCTTCTCTAACTGCTCAGCACATGCTCCTCAAATATTAGATTTGGTAGGTGGGAATTGAGGAAGCAAGGCCAGCCCGGACACCACCCTCACCATCCCACACTGTGAGCAAAGACCAGGTTCCAGCTCACCTGCAGAACTGGAAATGCAGGAGTCCGTTGGACCCGATGAGACGCATCACAGAATCACAGAACTGTAGGGGTTGGAAGGGACCTCCAGAGATCATCGTGTCCAACCCCCCTGCCAAAGCAGGTTCCCTACAGCAGGCCGCACAGGTTGGCATCCAGGCAGGTCTTGAACATCTCCAGAGAAGGAGACTCCACCACCTCCCTGGGCAGCCTGTTCCAGTGCTCCGTCACTTCACCTAAAGAAGTTCTTGCGCACATTTGTGCAGAACTTCCTATGCTGCAGTTTCCAGCCATTTCCCCTTGTCCTGTCTCCACTCACCACTGAAAAGAGTCCGGCCACGCCATTCAGCCCCCCACACCTTAGGTATTTATAGATCTGGATCAGGTCCCCTCTCAGTCTTCTTTTCTCAAGGCTGAACAGACCCAGTTCACTCAGCCTTTCTTCATAGGAGAGATGCTGCAGGCCCAACTCTGAGACTCTGCATCGCAGTCGTAAGGGAGTTTGGTGATGTAGTTGCCGAGCCACTCTCAGTGACATTTGAAAAGTCACGGCACTCGGGTGAAGTCCCTGGTGAATGGAAAAAAGGCAGCATCCCACCTATTTTTAAGAAGGGAAGAAAGAATGATCCTGGGAACTACCAACATAGCAGTCTCACCTCTGTGCTGAGAAAGAGCACCGAGCAGATCCTCATGGAAGTCGCGCTAAAGGCACACCGATGACAGGGAGGTGATACAGGAGAGCAGCATGGCTTCACCAAGGGCAAATCCTGCTTGACCAACCTAGCGGCTGCCTGCAATGGTGTCACAGCATCAGCAGACAAGCGAAGAACCACTGATGTCATCTACCTGGACTTCAGTAAGGCCTTCTACATAACATCCCGCAACATCCTTCTCTCCAAATTGGAAAGATACAGATCCAATGGGTGGGCTGTTCCGTGGACAGAGAACCAGATGCAGGATCAAGTCCAGAGAGCAGCGGTCAGTGGCTCCATGTCCGAATGGCGATGGGTGACGAGCGGTGTCCCAAAGGGGTCCGTGCTGGGGCTGGGACTCTTCCATATCTTCATCAGTGACATCAGCGGCAGGGTCGAGCCACCCTCAGAAAATTTTCTGACGACACCAAGCTGTGGGGAGCAGCGACACTGCAGAGGGACGGGCTGCCAGCCAGAGGGACCCAGATGGGCGCGAGCAGCAGGCACAGACAAACCTCACCAGGCTCAACAAATCCAGGTGCAGCGTCTTGCACCTGGGACAAGAGAACCTCTGCTACCAATACGTGCTGGGGGATGAAGGACTGAGCATAGGCCTGTCCCAAAACACCTGGGACAGCAAGCTGGACGTGAGCAGCAAAGCACCCTCCCAGCCCAGAAAACCAGTCGCATCCTGGGCTGCATCAAAAGATGCGTGGTCAGCAGGTGAAGAGAGGTGATCCTGCCCCTCTGCTCTACGCTGGTGAGACCTCACCTGCAGTGCTGTGTCTGGATGTGGATGTCTGCAGTGCAGGACAGACATGGGTCCAGATGGGGCCTGTCAATGGAATCCTGTAAATTATAAAGTTCTGTTGCAGTTGAGATCAGCCATTCAGTCAGAAGGGACATCGGGATCAGGGGTGCAGCTGCTGTCAGATACCATCGTGACGTCAGGACTGCTAATGTTTGACTGGCAGCAGATGGCCAGGACAGTCTTAACGCTGGCACAATGTACAGCGTGGGAGCAACAGGTGAGGACTCAGGCAGACGATTATTATACAGGCACAGATGGCTATTGCTAAAGACAGAATGGCTGCTAAGCCTTTGCCTGTATGGCACCAAATAATGGAGGGACTTAAACAAATTCGACAAAGAAGAATTTCTTCAGACTATTCCCCTTCGCCCTCCCTCCCACCCCCGCCGCTGCCCCCAGCTGCAGAAAGCAGCCCTGGTCCGGATTCTATCCGCAGCTCTGACCCCACCCCTGACCACAAAGAGGAGAAATTGCAACCTTCACCATCGCTGCTGCCCTCGGCTCTGCCCTGACGCTCATCCCGCTCCTGCCTTCAGCTCCGTCCGCGTCGCTCGCCGTTCTCTCTCCCTCCACTCCACCCCCAACGCTCGCTGCGCCGTCCCCGCCCTCCGCCCTGTCCATGTCCCCTGCTGTTGCATCTCAGCAGCCCACATGTCACTTGGTTGAAAACAATAACGGACCTGCAAGTACTTCTAAGGCTACATTAACTTTCCTCCAAGAATGGGGGGTTAGACATCTTACAGGCATTCCTCATTCTCCCACTGGACAAGCTATCATTGAGCATACTCATCTAACATTGAAATCTATTCTTAATAAACAAAAAGGGGAATACGGGAGACACCCCACAAGAAAGTTTATGGACTGGCCCTACGTGGATTCCAGCACGATACATTCGGCCTCATCTCAAGACAGAAAATAGCATCCAGCCTTTATAATGACTGGGACTGTGTGCTTCTTATTTATTGGTATTGCTTTGTAACTTGTTATATTGCAAATAAGTAGCAGTAGTAGTGGTATGATATAGTGGGTGATTTTCCTGTGTTATCAATATAGTCTCAAGAATTAGAGTTATTAGGCGTTATCTAGTTTGTTGTGTTCTTCTTTTGTTTTAGTAGTAGATTGAATGTGAATTAAACAGGATTTAATGTTACCAGTGCTATATTGTACGGGAATAGCTCTTTTGATGTATTAGTAACGCTCCAGTTATGATGCTGTCAACCTATCAATTAGTTTTTCTTGATTTGCAAAGACAAAACTGGAAAGAAGTCCTAGGCAAAGGCGCACGCTAAGAGAGCTAGCCTTGATAGCTCATTATGTTTTGCAAGCAGGTGTTCCGCTTGGGCTCTGTGTCACGCACTGGCCATGCAGATGCAGCGTACAAATGGAAAATACCTATTGGACCCTGAGAAGAATAAAGCGGGAGAGAATCTGTGATGGGTGAGAGAGGAAAGTGCACCTTGAAGCAGGGGACGCCCTGCTGGCACTGCCTATCACATTCACCACCACCATGTGTTTGTTCTTTTTATTAGTTTAACAGTACTTCTTGTCATTATGCTATGTTTGTCTTTTAACATTTCGAGTATTGTCAACCGAGGCCTTGATTGAGCTATAATGATTATGTTATTAATTAGTGTTACGATTCTGCACAATGACAGCCGTAGACAAGGACTAACCTTTTTCAACGGATCCAGCATATCTGCACCTCAACACACTATTCTTGTACTAATGACTACGAGAAATAACAGTAGAAAGTAGGGGACACGATAGCTTGGCATAGAGAGGGGGGAGATGTGGGCGGTACTCAGTGTGGGTGGTACGTGGGCTAAGGTGGGTGGCAGTTACTGGGGGGGTTCTGGGTGGTGCTTAACGGGTCACGGGCTCACGGGGCGGTCACGTGTGTCACGGTATACAGGCAGTTGTTGCACAGCACTAAATTCAGCACTTGAGCCACATCCTATGGCGTGCGTCTCTCATGTCCCTGTGCTGGGTGGGGGTGCAGACAGACGGGCACTGATAAGGTGTTGTGGACTGGGCTGTAATTGCATGGGGGTCTGCAACAACAGGGCAAGATTTCTCACCTGCTTGTCAAGCAACAACGAAGCACACAATCTCCTTTTGTGTCCCACAGCTCATTATTCCTTTATTTAAACCTCCTGTGTTGTCAGTCCTAGTTATGTTTTTGCATACCTACAGGGATGCAGAGAGAAAAACGACTGAGGTGCCACCAGCGGGGGGAGAATGCTTCTTGGCAGCTTTTTGCCTTGTGTTTGACTACAGATATTTTTTTTAAAAAAAGAAATGTTTAAAAACATAGTAAAAATTCTATCTGACTCTTAACAAGTGGGTATAATGTTTGTGCTCGTGCTTTTCTGCATAGTGGGAGGTGTAATCCACTTAATGTCACACAGCAGACAACCTTTATGTTCACATCTGTTTTACACACAGCGGCAGCAGAGGTTCTCAGAGATGCTTGAGCCTCGTGTTTCATTTCTGAAGGAAGTTTTTTAATAATGAAGGGGATAAATTGATCGGTGGATCCACAGAAGGGGGAAAACTAGCAGGTACATTGCAGGAATTCAGACAGGCAGACAGATGTCTACAGCTCATGCAGGTAAAGCCTGCATGTGGTAGACTCAAGTGGTGTTGAGGCTCCCATCAGTTCAGTTGTATTTCTCCAAACCACATAAATCTTACTGTCTGTTGGAAAAGAAGGAAACTTCATTGTTAATAGAAGTTCTACAAAGGTACTGCTAAGAAAAAAAAAAGAGGGAAAAGTTATATTGGTAATTCAAAGTCGTTGCAGCCGCAGTCGCTCTTGATAATCCAGAGACTACATCTGAACAGCCTCTCGTTTCTCCCTGTGGTTCAGACTAAACTGTTCATTACAATTTTTTGTGCATTATTAAAAAAAAAAAAAAAAGAGAGAGAAATGGTAGCTCTTCACATTCTGTAGCAAAAGACCTGAGTGGGGGGTAAACACAGGTTAAACCAAGTTCTTGAAATTGAAGGGCAGCTGCCCAAAAGCACACTGGGGCTTTGCATAGGTTTGTTTGGCCATATTCCCCATCATGTAAAGATAATTTGAGCCTTGTTTTTTTTCAACTCAGAGGTTTGCCAGGCAAATTGAACCTTAAAAACATAATTAGCCAGGGGCTGAACATTTAATCTTAAATTCTGAGTCTTGATTTAAACCTTAGAGGGAAGTGTGCTGCAACTCCTTGCTCACAGAGATGGATGTGCTTTGTGGCTTTCGCCACCAGGGAGGAACACAGCTCAAAGCCTCAAACACACACTGATTTTTGGCAAATTGGAGCCATCAAGAACAAAGTGCCTGGGTGGGTGCTTTGGATAAATGAGGAAACCTTAAAAAAAGGTGGCTCCTGCCACTCCTCTATGCATGTGCTGAAGTTTCTCCATCCCGTGCTTTGCCTCCCACCCTGCTGCTCCTCTGGGCAATAGGGACCATTCTGAAGTCTAAGCTTACAGTAGATGTGAAGTAGAATGTCATGCTTTGCTTTGAGATTTGCTAGGCTTGAAGCCTTTCAGCTTTTATTACAGTGTTCTATGAATTACTGAAAACCACTCTACTGTGGTTGCATGTGTTTCAAATTATGTAAAATTGTAAATGTAATTACAGAATTCCAATATACCCTGAAGATGATCTCCAGTTTGGTCCATCTCTCGTTAGGTCTGTAATTTCTTACACCTCCTCTTGATAAAAATATTCTTCTAAGTATTTTTCAGTTTCCCATACCAGCAAGGTAAATAAATTTAAGACAGACTGTTATCACTAATAGAGAAAGCCATTAGTTCTAATGCCTATTCCAGACAGCTGAGCACACTGAGACAGAGCATTGGTCAAAAAGAGGTGTTTAAGGCTCTGCATAAGCCAGGCTCCACCCCTTCTGGTCACAGCTGAATTGCTTTCATCTGTGCTTCCTCACCTGACTCAGCGCTCGCCTCAGGTGATCAGTCAGAGGTTCAGGCCATATTCAATAGTTCCCATTCATCTGGTTAAGTTACGGTTCTGGGAGAAGAACAAAATTAATAACGTACCAATGTTATAGCAGTCCACTGCTATAAAATGTAACAAGGCAGGATCCACTCAAACCTGACAGCAGAAGGTGTAGAAATAAGGGAAAGAATCTTCTTTTCCCATTTTCTCCACAATAATCTTTCCAGCTGTAACACCAACTGTAACATATGGGTACTGGGTTCTATGTTTTCAGGGGCAGGGAGCAGAAGATTATTTCATTGCCAAGTTGGGGTCCTACCCAATTATCAGTGCCCATAATTTGAATCCTAATCAAGGAGGCCCATGTCAGTAGCATCTTCAGGGCACTGGGTCTGCTATCTCTGAGCTTTCATTCAGGTCTCACAGGGTTTCACAGTCTCTTTCTCCACCCCTGCACGGTCTGAGAGTCTGCCTTCAGAGCAGCCTTAGGACTATTATTAGAGCATTCACTAAGGCCTGCCCCTGTTGGACTATCTAGCAGGTGGAATCACCGCTCAGACTGTTTTCTTCTGCCCGGTGTTGTGTCATTGTACCAGTGAAATGAGACCATTAATCACTCTCGATGACTTGAGGTGCTCCATAGGTGGCCATCAACTCTCAACTCATCTGAGAAACAAAGAAGAGTTTTTGCTTTCCCATTGGAACTAAGACACTGCAAACTCAGATCAGGATCTCTCAGTCTCTGAATGAGGAACCCTCATATCTTAAGTGATGACAGCTTACAAAAAATAATGTCCATCACTTACTGCATCATTATCTTTGAGTCCTGCTCCTTAGCAAAATTTGTACTTCACGTCAGCTTCAAAATCCAAGCAATTTATTAGACTGGGTACATACCTGCCACCAGGATCCACAGGTGACATTTAGATGTGCAGAGACACTACCACCTACACCAGAGAAAGAGAGGGATTATTCTAAGTTTCATTTCCTGAGGCAGAAGATTTCTGTGATCAACATATCGAAATTCCAGGCCAGCCTGAAACATAGAGAGTCTTCTCAATTCAAATGGGAATGCTACATAAAGGTTAAGTAAAGCTTATTTTCAAATCTCCTTTTAGTCTTAGAAGATCACAGATTCAAACCCCAGTCTTTTGTCTCCAAGAATAGGGCTGTCTGATACAGTCTGGTGAAACTCCTTGCTCAGACTCTGGTGTCCCATGGAACTACACATTTTTGCATATCTTCGTGAATGCAAAAAAATCCCACATGCTACTGAAGTAAAGCTGGCTGACTTTGCTGGCTGCTTGGAAGGTCATCAATTTTCTTCCAACCTAAGCATCACTTGGTTTCAACCAGTATACTAATTCTAGGAAGGAAATGCACCAGTTACTTTCTTTCTAGCTTAATCTCTGCTTATTTTCCTCTGAGACTAAATCGTAACAGAAAATTAAATTCCAACTACAAAATGAGCAGGATTCTTAGTCCTAGGTATGATTTTCTTGGAAAAGCAGTCTATTGGGAAAAGGTAGATTCACACAGTATTAAAAAACTACTAAATCCCACTAACATAAAGTATAGGTGATGTCAAAGATCCAACAGTTACTATTCTGGCTGCCTATTAATGCACAGAGCAGTTAAAAACTGGGCACTGTGGCTGCTTTTTCCATTACGAACACTAGAATTGTTTCTGAAGACTTAAGAGATAAATGCACCAAATTAGTGAAATCTTTTTGTGCACGCACTTTCAAACTATCTGTCCTCCTATCAACTATATAAAAAAACAGTGCAATATCCTACTTCAGAGAAGACACACGAACACACAAAAAGATTAAACAACACCCTACCCTCCACTCATGCAAGAAAATCCCCTAATCTTTGAATCTTACATTTCTTACGCTCTTTGAAAAGTACACTCTAGATTTTATTTTAAGTGTGAACAGAATCCATTAAGTATGACCTTTTTTTAAAGAACTCAAAATGCACACCTACTAGCATGATGTATCAGCTTGAAAGTTTCTTCTCCATCTATTTCCTAGGCCAATCTTTGGAGGGCTCATGCCTTTAAGATGACTAGTTGATCAGTTGAACTTAGTTTGAAACAGACGTCAAGAACTCATAGGAAACACAGCAATAGCTGTTAAAGGAATAGGTTTGCAAAAAAAGCATGAATTTATTTTAATGCAGTTTCCAAATAAATATTTTGCTATTACATTTAAAGTAAAATGAGAAGAAAACTTCATGCAAAATATCAGTAATTGGAAAATTATTTTATTTTAGCCACACAAAATGAGTCGATGAATCTGATGAATCTTTTGGTTCAAATGAATGATCATTTTTGTTTATTACAGGTTTTTGTGGACCAAAACATTTTAATACAGAAATCCTTAGAACACATTTCACACTTCTTTTACAAAGAGTGATTTTCCATTAGCATCCAGAGATTGAAAGAATATATTTGGAAAAATACTACGAACTTACGACATTAATCGTAATTATACCATGTAAGGTAATTTTTTTTAAAAGCCAGTGTTTTTACCCATTGTGAAAGGGTGTGAACACAAAACAGTGTATCTACACTTGTTATTTATGTACTTACATATAAACATTTTTAATATAGGGAGTGCTTTGATTCAGACCTGGTCATTAAACAGCAGACCAGAATATTAAAAGAGAGAATCTATCTAGGATATGGAATATCATTCCTTTGACATTCCAGCTATTTGCCTGCACACTGCATAATAAAATGAGCAATTACTTGTAACAGACTTTATTTGCTTATAATGGAAGGGCTTTTGACTGGAATTTATTTTGTGAAATGAAAAAGAAATTATAATACAAACAAGAAATTTGTTTTATTTTGGGCATATGACATTTATTCAAATTGTTAATTGGGATAGCTTTATAGAATAAGACTTCTGAGTAGATTTTTCTTCTCTTTCCTCCTATGTCTGTTCCAAGTTGTGTTCAGACCTCTTTGATATCCATACTTCAATTCCCACACTCTTCACAGGACAAAAAACAAATCATGTACAAAATTACCCTCTAAAAGGCACCTCAATCAACATCACACCTTAATATTTATTTGAAGGATGTCACTTGCACAGATTAAAGTAAGAGCAGGGAGTATATAGTGAATTCAAGTCATCAGCTATAATAATAATAAAAGAGAAAAATAAATAAGTTTGGTATATGAAAGTTTCTTCCCTTACAATCAATTATTTTCCTCTCACAGACTTTCTGTAAAGTAAGATCTGTATTCCTTCCAGAGTTTGTTTGTAAGCCATACAGTTTCAGCTATGCTCAAATACATTTCCTAAGCTATTTTATAATGCAGCATTACTTTTTCCCATGTTGCACTGGACACATTAATTGTTCTTTGCCGAGACAATATTTCCAGTTCTTGATAACGTTGTTTTGCACTGACTTCCAAAAGAGCTTGTCGCTTGGTTACACACCCAGGTTCCGTTTCTTTGCCAATGGCCTTACATCTGTGTTACAAGGTTCACAGATGAAAACCACAAGAGTTCTGCACAGAAACTCAAGAGATAACACCTTACTCACGGATAATGCTACACTGTGTATATATACACTTACAAACAGTTTTGCAAAACTTGGTTTACCAACTAGCTTTACCTATGGGAAAGTAACTTTACCTCTCTTGCAGCCAAGGGGCCCACTTACCTGTGGACTACCTTAATCCTGAGAAATGCTTGTGAATTCTGTGGTTATGATACCCGACAACAGTGAAGTCTTTGCACCAGGAACACCGATGACCAACCTCAGAAGCACTGACTTTTGACAGAAGAAAGCAGTTGTTTGTTCACAGAAGCATAATCTCTGTCCCAGCATCTCACAGGTTCCATTTATGCAGGTCTGAAATTTTGACGTGGTTTCTTTTTTCATCCTTCTTTCTTAGTTTGTTGTTTTTTTTCCTTGAAGAAGGAAATGCTAAAAATAAAGCCACTGGGAACAACTTACACTAGAATATCACTTCTCTTACTGCACCATACTACCAGCATTATCATGGCACATGTCAATATGACTGGAATCAAGATCAGAGTTACGAGAATTTCATCTGGCGGATCTTCCCAGTGAATGTTGTCCAAAGTACAGTTTGAAAAGTACTGTTTATGAATTCCCGTGATAAAGCTCTCTGCAAGGGGGTTTGGCCAGAAGCAACTTGCATTGTTGGCTTCACGTTCTGTGCACTGGGTAAAGTTATTATAATACCTAGGAAAAGAAGAAAATGAAGTTTCAATTGAACACGTACGTATGTTACGCACACAGAAACAAAAAATGAGTGCTGTGTAGTCAGTAGTTTACAGGCTGGTTCAGCCTGCTTCTGTGACTAATGGGGCAGGGGGACCCATGAACCCATGCCCTGGGAAAGGGAAAAAGGGGAAAGGGAGGGAGATGAGCCTAAAAACAAAACAGTGTCAGTGATCTGAGGAGGATAGCTAATTTACTAGAAAATATATCCACATGAAAGATAGCACGATATGATACAATATAATGCAATTCAATTGGAATTGAAGCTAAAAAATCAAATAAAATGAGAGAAAGTGTCCAAAAACCAAAGATCTTACTCTACTGCCAAAAGTGAGATGAGCACATGCACTGCTGGAATGAACAGAAAGGGAAAAAGAGACGTCTCATGAGCTGCAAAGTTTTTATCTTTCCCTCTGAATGGGAAACAGAATTGCAAAGTCCCCTGGAGCATGCGGTTCTTCTTCTCTCCTCAGAAGCAGGTAGTCAGAAATCCCAACAGAACTGGAGCACTGACTCTTTAACTCCCAGTCCACTACATGGTGTTACGATGTGGTGTACTGATAACAAAAATCATAAAACCGTGATGTATGGGAACTGCTGAATCAGAGCCTGAACCACTGATTGATCACCTGGGGAAAAGAACAGGGTCAGCCCTGCGAGCACAGGTGAAGGCAATTTGGCTGTGTGACTGGAAGGGGGGTTGAGCCTGGGCGCACCTCTCAGACCCCATTTAAGGGATGATTGCAACTGAGTATCATATAAAGATGTGAACACAAATGAACCAAATATTTTGAGCAAAATATGGATAATCAACACCTCATCCACCACTGGGCATGAGGCTTTGGCAACAGTGATGATGCAATACTGGAACTGAGACACAGCATGCATTACTGTGTAAAAACTTCAGTTCTGTTGCACTCCTAGGCAGCAAGAAGATTATGGGAGAATAAACACAAGGAAGTCCGCTTTTAACAACCTTAGTCTTCGACAACCTTCTCAATTCCAGTAAATGCAGAAAAGGAAGTCTTCCCTATTTATGAATGTTCTCAATAGTCATTGAAGACTGGGAGTCCCTCATAATGATGAAAACCTTATTTCAACACAGCCAGTGCCGAAATTCATTTGGCTGTGGATCAGAAAAGTCAAACTCTCTGAAAAAAATGTGAGAAAAATAATAATTATAAGGAACAATAAGCCTAAATGAGTAATCAGATGGGTTTTGTGGTGTTATCACAAGCCAAAGAAAGTCAGGAAGTGAATGAATTACCGGGGAGGAGATTGGAAATTTAGATGGCAAAATTTCTGGTCAGTTCACGAATGGGGGAAGATAGAGGAAGATGAATTATTCTCTTGTATTTTTTTTGTATATCTTTCAGTTCTATGTGATTGAAACTCACTTCCAATGGAAATAAACTTCTGATTATTGACTCTTTCTTTCACTATATACCGCAGAGGACAAATGCAGATTCAATTCTTTCCTGTGAAGTAGTAGAGAGAGATTCAGTGTCTGAGTCAAGTCTGAAGACTGTCTCAAGCCTGTCTATCAGGAGAAATATCTGCTTGCCCATACTACAAGAGAATGGGTTGGGAATACAGGCTGCAGTGTAATATTCTTAGAGCTGCGTTCCCAGGTTAAAAGGCTTCGCAGGAAGCTCCTTCTGCGACATTATTGCAGTTCTCATTCTTGGTGAGCTCGAGTTGATACCAGAATGATCTCACGAGTCCAATCTCTGATGCTCTGTCACACAGATGCATACATAAACAATGTATGTATATTTTAAGCAAAGCAATGAGGAAGGAAGTTTTTGTGACAAGGTCAGCTGCCACAGTCAAAAACAGGAAATAAGCTTAAAATAAAACATGAATACTAGCTGTTTGCTGTTGTCACAGTGCCGTTCTTCTCTGCAACCCCACTACATTCATTCTCTTTGTCCTGGGACTAAATTAGAATCTAAAGCTGTCTAGTGAGTGTGGAAGAGACAGCCCCAGGGGACCTGAAGAAAAATACATCTGAGGGCATGTCTACCAGATCAACAGACTGCAGAGCTGAGGTGCCAGAGGTAGCACTGAACTGCCCAGAGGTCAGTGTTCTGTCTAGAACGGACGCCAGACTGGGCTCCAGAGTGAGTCAGGCTCTGCTCCAGCCCTGCTCTGTGCCATACTCTGGTGAGCAAGCTGTCCCACTAATGTTACTTCAGCTCTTTGCTGCCACTTCAGTATACCTATCTGCTTGTGTGGAGTACAAATTATAAGGTCCTACAGAAAGCTCACTACGCCTTCAAGAGATGTTAGCTTTTTATGTAATGTTGGAAGGTATAACCAAAATATTTCCTGCCAATTTTGCATTTGAAGTCCAAACCCAGCCAGAAAAGTCTGGTTAAACTGTACTAGAAGGTCATATAAAAAATTATAGGGAGTTATATTGTATTGAAAGGCTGGATCAAAATACAATATAAATGTTATACTACGTTTGAATTCCTCATAACTTTCCCTTTATCCCTTCAATCAAAACAAAGAAATTAGCTACTTTTCCTATGGAATTGTAATAACATAAGAAAAAACACACCTGAGAACTATGTGTCTGGCAGGAAAGTTCAATTCACTCAAATATTGAGTCAGTTTAATATCTCAGAGCTTATGCACTTCAGCAAGTATCTCGTATTTTAACAAAAAAAAATCCTCCATGCGGTACTGCGTAGCAACTGCTTTAGAAGGGAACAACTGAGTTCTAATTACAATGGCATGTGTCTTCTGGATTTGATCGTTCTGCAAAATTTTTTTTTAGTTATTGTTTTTTAAAGGGAGGCGGAGGTTAATAAACACTTAATGCAAAATCAACTTACCTGTGCTTAATTCCCTTATGTTTTAAGCAACTCCCTTAATTCAGATTGAAAAGGCTAGCTAGAACGACTAGTTTTTATTTTTTAAACTAAAGAATCCTATGACAAAGAAGTCCTGGCCTCTGCCTGTAAGTAATTCAACATAAATGCTTACAAATTACAGACTTTGTGATAGGAAAATACATATGTCATTTTCTATTTATTTCCAAAACAAGTAATTGGAGAGTAGTACAGTAATGTAAGTTCCAATACTTTACTTCTCAGACTATAAAGGAGTAATGGAAGGTTATTATTCTCCATGCTGAACCACAGACTCTTTATCAGGGTCTGTGGTGACAGGACAAGGTGAAATGGTTTCACACTTAAAGAGTGGCAATTTAGGTTGGATGTAAGGAAAAAGCCTTTCACAGTGTGGGTGGTGAGGCACAGGAACAGGTCGTGCTGAGATGTGATGGGCACCCTATCCCTTGAGACATTCAGGGCCTGTCTGGAGGGGGCTCTGAGCACCCGCTCAGCAATGGATGTCCCTGCTCACTGCACGGGAGTTGGACTAGGTGACTGTTACAGGTCTCTTTCAACTCTAAGGATTCTATGATTCTTTGATTCCATTTTCAAATTCCTTCATCAAAACGGAAAGCACTGCTGCGCATTCTTTGCTGTTCAGAGCCCTGTGTTTAGTGAATGTATCAAAACACATACAATTATTTGCCACATCTGCCTTCGCCATGCCCTGGTTTCAGCTGACACTGTTAATAGTATACTGACAATTTGGTTCTTGCTGAGTAATGAGCATGTGCCCAGGGCCAATCCACAGGAAGAGCTGCCATCTTCAAGTCACAGGGATGGGCTGTATTGCATGTTGCTTTGGGTTGCATGCAGCCCGCGGGCAGCAGGTTGTACATGCCTGAACTAGAGTCTCAATATAATTTGTCTAAACCTTTATTTCCTGTGCTGTTACGTGAACAAGTTATGGCAGGGCACGTTAGTTCTTCAAGGATGAGACCCAAAATGAAGAAGGCTGAACTACTATCTAGCTTTTGGAGGAAAAATATATGTTCAGAAGGAACAAAAAGTCTATTATTTTGATGTCCATCACAATAAAATACTGCTGGCAATGAGTTTTTCTGTATGAATGCATTCATGAATTTATAGTTGACCTTCAGGGATCATAGAAAACTAAACAATATTCCACCACATCTTCTAGGAAAAATGCTCCTTGACTTTTGTAAATATTAATGGCAGTGATCACTGTAGTGAACATGGATTGAATTAGAATTTGCCAAGTTGAGGCAAATCTTTTTGCAAGTTTGACACAACATATACTACTCTGCTGAATTAATTAACATGCACATTGGACACTGCACTTCAGTCTTACGATTGGACATTTCTTCACTGTAAAGATAAGGACATTTGTGGCTCACTGCTTTTAAACCACTGCTTGATTTTAAAAATAGAATTAAAACTTCAGTGCTAGAGCAGCTGATAGAGACCACACTTACAACCACAGCTCATTTCTGCCTAAGATCCCCAGACACAGCAAAGTTGCTTAACAAGTTTCTCAGTAAAAAACTTCCTCAAATTTGCAGTAGCAACCCTGTTATCTCAGTTCAGAATGAGCTTAACATGCAATATTGCAAATAGGACTGAGGACTTGGTACATCACTACTGAATAAAGTCTAATGCCTGCTCTCTGCTCTGGTCCAACACTAGCAGATACTGCAGTAACACTGACATTTGACAGAAAACGGATAACAGCCAGGGAGATAAGAAGGTCCATTTGTTATTCACTGAAATTTGAAAGAAAACAGAATAATTTTTAAAACAGATTTTAATGTGACAGACCTTGTGGCCACTCCCACCCTTGTGACAAGGCCTTGCAGTTCAGCCAGAGAACAAACCAGCCAGTGTCATTCACCCCTAGACACAACAGGGAAAAATGGTTGCAAAAGTCAGATTGTTGAGTAAGGGAAGAAACTACTCCTGCTAAGATATAAGAAGGAAATGAAGATGAAGCAGATGAAAGAGGGCCATAACAAGAACGTGAGGAGGAAAAGGAAGAACTCACAGAGGCAACAGCTGTCTGACCCCTAACCATGGGTGACCTGTGAGATATATGCAAAG